CAACTTTTCAAAATTTTCTCATGACGGCTCAGCCGTATGGGGCTTTGGCCCTTTCACTTTACTCTGCCTGTAGGGGCTTTTGACTTTGGATTTTTTTTCATTTTCAATAACTCTGATTTCAGAACATCGGCTATCATGGCCAGTCGGGATCGACTTGATGCACCCGCTGAGGCTAGGTACTTTTCTTTGGACTTGGCTTATTAAGCAGAAACCTGTAAAACCAATCTTGCCATCTTTTCTTTGTATTAGTTTCGAAACATAGTTATACCGAAAGGGAGTCAAGGAAATGTAAACAAAGGAAAAAAAATGAATTTAAGGAGAAGCGTCCCTTTCGGGGAGGAAATAAGGACTTATCTGGGGTGCATGCAGACTTCAATAGACATGACATGCTTCTTGGACTGGACACCTGATCTGCACAACTATCCCAACTTCTCATATACCCATTGCGACCCGTGTTTCAAAACCGAGAAACCTTGTCAGGACTCTTTCAATACCAATGGTGGTGAGGGGTTTCTTCTTTTCGATCAACGGCGCCCTTTGCGGGTTTTCGCCAATCGACCTCTCTCATTTCTCTTCTCACCATCGCCTTATAGTGTTCTTTACGAGTTTTCACTAAAAAGACTCTCATTTTCAATTTCTCTGCTAACCATCGCCTTACGGTGCCCCTAGGCTTTCACCAATAAGACTCTCTCATTATATTTCTCTCATTTTGATTGCGTCAGATCCAAACAACTACTTTCTCCGATTTTGAAAACCTTTTGCCGATTGATCGGAAGGACTTGAACAAGGTTTGGGTAAAAAAAACTTGGATCGAATTACAACTTTGGAACCGTTCAGGCGGGATCATCGGCGAACCATTATAACATCTATCCAAGTTTCACTTTTTGGGGGAAATTGGATTTTTGTTTTGGTGTGACTGAACCCCAGAGAGAGGCTACCTACGTATCCTTTCGGAATCAAGTTGAACGTAGTTCAGGGAAACATTTTGTTTTTGTGTTCCTTTTTTCTTTTTTTTCTTTTTTTTTTCTTTTTTCTTCTTTTCTTTTCATCATTTCATTTTTTCATTTTTTTTGTTACAAACGACTTCGAGTTCCAAAGAGGGTAACGAAAGAAAGGTAACTGGCTCAAAGGGTTAGCAAAAGATTGGAGTGTTTGGGGTCGCGAGAATAAAAACCATCATCATCCCAATCAGATAATGCTATTGCAGCAGAAGGATTAGACATAGTACCTTTTGACTACATCTGCATTCACAGTTGTTTCAGGGTCATTTCCTTCAATGTCTCCCAGATACAATGCCCCTTTTGGCAACAATTTTCTGATAATGTATGGGCCGTTCCAGTTAGGAGCAAATTTTCCTTTTGCTTCCTGATGATGGGGGAGAATACGCCTTAAAACGAGTTGCCCCACTTCAAAGTTTCTAGGATGCACTTTCTTCTTGTATGCACGGGTCATCTTTGTTGATACAACTGCCCGTGGTAGACTGCAGCCATTCGCTTTTTATTGATCGAGGTCAACTGTTCTAGACGAGTTTTGACCCACTCAGTGTCTTCAATTTCAGCTTCAACAATGATCCGGAGAGAAGGGATTTCAAATTCCGCGGGTATTACGGCTTCAGTGCCATAAACCAAAAGGTACGGGGTTGCTCCGACCGATGTACGCACAGTAGTACGATACCCCAACAATGCTAAAGGCAACTTTTCATGCCACTGCCTGGAACTTTGAATCATCTATCTCAAAATCTTTTTGATGTTCTTATTTGCTGCTTCGATGACGCCATTGGCTTTGGGACGTTAAGGAGTAGAGTTCCGATGCGTTATCTTGAATTGTTTGCATATCTCCCCCATCAAATGACTATTCAAATTTGCAGCATTATCCGTAATGATAGTTGTAGGAATACCAAAACGGCAGATAAGGTTGGAATGCACGAAGTCTACTACGGCTTTCTTGGTGACAGATTTGAGAGTAATTGCTTAAACCCACTTTGTGAAGTAGTCGATAGAGACCAATATGAATCTATGCCCATTTGAAGCTTTTGGCTCAATCGGCCCAATGACGTCCATGCCCCAGGCAACAAATGGCCAAGGTGCTGACATGGGATGCAGTTCTTTAGGCGGCGCATGAATCAAATCACCGTGCACCTGACATTGATGACATTTCCGGACGAAACTGAAGCAGTCCTTTTCCATAGTCATCCAGTAATAACCCGCTCTAAGGATTTTCTTTGCCAAAACATACCCGTTCATGTGGGGTTCGCACACTCCTACGTGCACTTCATACATGATTCTTCCGGCCACTTTGGCGTCAACACATCTTAACAAGTTGAGATCCGGAGTTCTTTTGTACAAGACATCACCTATCAAGAAGAAACCATTTGTGTGTCGTCTAAGGGTTCTCTTTTGGTCTCCACTGTCTTGCTCGGGGTATTCTCTAGTTTTCAAAAATCTTTTGATGTCATGATACCATGGCTGAATATTTGGTTCTGCCTCAACCGTATTACAGTAACCGTGCCTTTCCCGGATTTGGATTTCCAAGGGATCAATGTGGGCATTTCCTGGGTATGGCAGCATCGAGGCCAAAGTAGCAAGTGCGTCAGCTAGTTCATTGTGACAACGAGGGATATACCTGAACTCTATTGACTTGAATCGCTTGCTAAGATCTTCCACATGTTGCCTGTAGGGAATAAGTTTGACATCTCGAGTCTCCCATACTCCTTGGGCTTGTTGAATAATCAGATCTGAATCTCCTATGATTAACAATTCTTCAACATCTTGGTCAATCGCCATGTTCATACCCATAATTCAGGCTTCATACTCGGCAGTGTTGTTTGTGCAGAAAAACCGAAGCCGGGCTGTGGCCGGATAATGCTGACCAGTGGCTGAGATCAAGATTGCCCCAATTCCAACACCTTTTGCATTTGCCGCTCCATCAAAGAACATTTTCCAAGCATTGGTATCTTCGGATATAGCCTCAACTGAATTTACCTCTTCATCCAGGAAGTAGGTGCTCAAAGGTTGGTATTCATCATTAACCGGGTTTTCAGCCAAGTGATCTGCTAATGCCTGGGCTTTCATTGCCGTGCGAGTGATGTAGACTATGTCAAATTTAGTGAGCAGGATCTGCCATTTTGCTAACCTTCCCGTGGGCATTGGTTTCTGGAATATGTACTTTAAAAGGTTCAACCTGGTAATGAGATAAGTGGTGTAAGCCAACAAGTAATGCCTCAACTTTTGAGCTACACAGGTTAGAGCGCAACAAGTCCTTTCCAACAGAGTGTATTTAGCTTCATAGCTTGTGAACTTTTTACTCAAATAGTAGATTGCCTGTTCTTTCCTCCTGGTTTTGTCATGTTGTCTAAGGACACATCCAAAAGAATTCTCCAAGACTGTCAAATACATGAACAGAGGCCTTCCCGGTTCAGGTGGGACCAAAACTAGCGGGTTCGACAGATATTCTTTGATTTTTTCAAAAGCTTCTTGGCACTCGTCTGTCCATTTAATCGCTGCATCTTTCTTTAACAGCTTGAAAATGGGTTCACATGTAGACGTCAACTGGGCAATGAATCGGCTGATAGAGTTCGATCTTCCCAACAAGCTCATAACATCATTCTTGGTTCTTGGAGGAGGCAGATCTCGAATGGACTTTATCTTCGCTGGATCTAGCTCGATGCCCCTCCGACTGACTATGAATCCCAAGAGTTTGCCAGATAGAACCCCAAATGCACATTTGGCTGGGCTTAGCTTCAGATCATATTTACGCAGCCGCTCAAAGAATTTTCTCAAAACCAGAACATGGTCATCCTGGGTCCTGTACTTGATGATCACGTCGTCCACATACACCTCTATCTCTTGGTTCATCATGTCATGAAAAATAGCTCATGTCCCTCATGTAGGTTGCCCCGGCATTTTTTAGACCAAAAGGCATGACCCTATAACAGTACGTGCCCCAGGGTGTGGTAAAAGTTGTCTTTTCTACATCCTCTTCATCCATTAGCACCTGGTGATATCCCGCGTAACAATCCACGAAGGACTGTATCTCATGTTTGGCGTAGTTATCAACAATGATATGGATGTTCGGCAAAGGGAAATTATCCTTAGGACTTGCTTTATTTAGATCTCTGTAATCCACATACACTCGAGTTTTTCCGTCCTTCTTTGGCACCGGAACTACATTGGCTAACCATGTGGTGTATCGAACCACTCGGATCACCCCCGCTTTCAACTGTTTTGTGACCTCTTCTTTAATTTTGTCACTGATATCAGTTTTAAACTTTCTTTGCTTTTGTTGGAAAGGGGGATAATCGGGGTAAGTTCGCAACTTGTGAACCACCAAATCAACACTCAGTCCTGGCATGTCGTCGTATGACCAAGTAAACACATCTTTGAATTCAAACAAGAGTTGGATCAATGCGTCCCGGGTTTTTTCATCTGTGTGAATGGTTATCTTGGTTTCCCTGACTTCTTCAGAACTACCCAAATTAATCGGCTCAGTATCATTTAAGTTCGGCTTAGGTTTATTCTCAAATTGTTCCAATTCTCGATTTATTTCCCTAAAAGCCTCTTCTTCATCATATTTCGGTTCTTGGTTCATTATTTCACAGTTAGATAGCGTGTTTGGATCTGGGCATGAAGTCCGCAAGCATGTCATGTTATTTAAAGCCCCATTATTAAAACTGAAAGAAGAAATAAAAGAGAAATATAACAAAATCAAAAAGAATAAAGAAAGATGAACGATGAAATATTTATTTCATTTCATTGAATTTGTAGATGACAGGGTTTACATTGGGAATTAAAGACAGGAAACTAAAGAAAACATCCGAGTTACACCCTGAAATAACTCGTGATGCAGAAAAGTGGCAGGACTGGACTACCGGGATTCCCACCTGATTGGGAACGGAGTAGCCTTCCAATTTTGCAGTTTTGCACTGGGTCCCATGTATAGCACCTCAGCGGTGCTTGAGCCTTCTCCCGGCTGAACCATGTGGGCTTCATACAGCATCTGTCTCATAGCCCCACATATTTCTTCAATTTCCTCGGCCGTAAAGGCTTCATCTTCCTCTCCTCATTGTATTTAGGCTTGACAAATGTCCTATAAAGATGAAAAATGGGTGGATGAAAGAAAGAACAATGGTTTGACAGAAAAGATTGATGACAAGGGTTTCCCTCCTCATATTGGTCTGCGACCACCACTTCAAAAGCTTGATAAACTATGTGCTCACTACCTTCTCTGGCTTCGAGACATGGGACTGATGGGTCCCGGTAGATCGACTGCTCATCATCCCCGTGAACTACAATCTCTTGATCTTGATGTTTGAATTTCACCATCTGGTGGAAAGTAGAAGGCACAGCCCCTGCTACGTGAATCCACGGTCTTCCCAAGAGGAAATTATAGGAAGTATCCATGTCCATGACCTGAAAGGTCACCTCAAAATCCACTGGCCCAATAGTCAAAATTAAATCAATCTCGCCTATCGTATCTCTCTTGACGCCGTCAAAGGCGCGTATACAGATGTTGTTGGGCCTGGTTCTCTCAGTACCGATTTCCATACGTTGCACAGTTGAGAGAGGGCAAATATCTACCCCAGAAACACCATCTAACATGACCCTTTTCACATAATATCCCTCGCATTTGGCCGTCCGATGAAGGGCTTTATTGTGGGCGGCCCCTTCCGGAGGCAAATCATTCTTACTGAAGGAGATTTGATCGACTGCAAAAAACCTTTCTGCCATCCTCTCCAACTGTTCCACAGTGGTTTCAATGGGTACATACGCTTCGTTAAGGGTTTTGATCAATGCTTTCTGATGTTCAGTTGAGTTCATTAGCAGAGACAACAGAGAGACTTGAGCAGGAAAATTCCGGAGTTGGTCAATTATCTCGTAGTCTGCCATTTTCTTTTTCTGGAAGAACGCTTCTGCTTCTTCAGCACTCACTGGCTTCTTAGGTGGGAAACGCTTCTTTGTGGCATTATTCACTTCCTCCAGATTGAGGTACTTCTCAGCCGGGTTATTTTCCTTAACTTCTTCCTAGATCTCTTTGCCTTTGTAAGTTACTACCACTTTGTTATAGTTACATGGCACGGCAGTGGGATTTGTCATGGGCCTTTGCAGTGCGCGGCCAATAACCACGGACTCATTCAGCCTTGGTGGAGTTATTGGCCCCCGCACCACGTAGGTCCCTTTGGACACATACATTTTAGCTCCCTTGCTTAACTCAAACCTTCTAGGAGAACTCAAAGACATATGTTCTTTCTTGTGGCCTCGAGGAGCATAGAGAACGACATCTTTGGAGGGCGCTGCCCCAGTTTCGGCTTCCACTTTCTTTTCGGTTTTCTGAAGGGTAGTTTTATTCTTTCTCTCCTCCTTGTCTTGATTTACGACAGCTTTTGGCTTCTTTTCCACATCGGCTATGGCAATGATGGCTTTTAGAGCTGGGTCAAACTCTCTATCTTTACAAATCATTTCAATAACCGGCCTGTTGTTGTGAGCCGGTAACAGATTGTTGGTTATATTAGGAACGTCCTCGTCTTTTAGCACTATTCTCTTTTGCTCTATCAAATTTTCCACAGCCCTCTTCAGGGTCCAACAGTCATCTCTATCATGCCCTTCTGCCTCTGAATGGTAGGCACATTGAGTACCAGCTCTATAGGTGGGCGACGCTAGGTTTTGCCTGGTTAGGGGTACAGGCTGCAACAAACCCATCTAGACATGTTTGGGGAAAAGGCTGGAATATGACTCACCAATGGGTGTGAAGTTTGGCATCTTGAGTGGTTCCCGGGCACGAAAGTTGTTCTGTGGAGATTGGGGGTTACACTGAGCTTGGTGAGGAGGTTGATTTCTGGGAAATGGAGCTCGGTTTTGATTGAATTGGTGTTGTGGCCTAACGTAGGGTTTTGCATTCATCACTGCGTATGGCTGAGGAACCATAGCGTAGGCCGCATCTTGATGAGGGTAGTAGTGTTGTGGGGTATCTCTAGTGAAGTAAGGTTTGGCTGGACGAGGTTTTCTTACACTCGATGTCGCCATTACCGACTCTTCCTTCTTCTTTCGGTTTGCTATTCCTCCAGACCCGCCTTTGATTGCTTGGGAGGTAGTCCTTATAGCAGACTGACCCAAGATTCGCCCTGTTTTCAACCCATTTTCAACCATTTCACTGATTTTGATGGCTTTGTCAAACAGCTTACCCATTGCAGACATCATGTTTTGATAATAATCAGCCTCTTGGGCTTGAAGGAAGACACTGACCATCTCTGTTTCGTCCATTGGAGGTTTGACTCTGGCCGCTTGTTCGCGCCATTTGACAGCATACTCTTGGAAGCTCTCCGAGGACTTCTTCTTTAGATTTGACAATGAATTCCTGTCAGGGGCAATGTCGATGTTGTATTTAAACTGCCTGACAAAGTCCCGAGCCAGGTCATCCCAGATATGCCAACGGGATATATCCTGATCCATATACCATTCCGAAGCGATGCCGACCAAACTCTCTCCAAAGTAGGCCATGAGAAGTTCTTCTTTTCCACCCGCTCCCCGCAGTTGGTTGCAGTACCTTTTGAGGTGAGCAATGGGATCCCCAAGCCCATCGTATTTTTCAAACTTCGGGGTTTTGAAACCCAAGGGTAGATGTATGTGTGGGAACATACACAGGTCAGCGTAAGATATGCTCTTTTGCCCACTCAGACCCTGTATATTTTTGAGACTTTGCTCCATGCTTTTCGTCTTTCTGGTAATCTCCTCCTGTTAAGGGGTTTTCGCAATTTTCTCCTACCCTGCGGTAAACTCGTACCGAGGCGGCTGAGGGTAAGCATTGGTAGTAAACTAGGTGGGTTCCAGTGGGAAAGATGGTACTTGAAAGGTGAATGATGGTGGGTCAAAGCTAGGCCTGGGTAGAGTGGGTTGTGTCGTAGCTGAACAAGGTGGCGCAGTGAATATAGTTGAGGCCTCACCTGACATTGACACCTGGGGGCGAGCCTCAGAAGGTGTTCCAGCAAAGTGGGCTGAAATGGTAGGATATCCCAGTGGGGTATTTGGATAGCTTATGGGGACGTTGGAGGTGCCACTTGCTCTGGGAAGTAGCTCGGGGAATCCAGGGATTACACTTGGTGGTTCTCTACCATTAGACCAGGCATCCCACATTTCTATCATGCGGAGACGCAGAATTCTGTTTTCCTCTGCAGCGGCCGATTCCGAAGTTGGGATGACCGACATCAGGCTATCCTCGGGGATAGGAACCGTTGGTAGATGACCCTCAGATGACATTTCAATGCTTCCATTTGACCTTGTGAAGTAAGGAGGTGAAGCCAGACTACCACAAAACCAACCACCTTACTATAGAACCTATACTTAACAGTAGACAACAAACTGGTCAGTTTGAAGCAAATAACACATAGGTAATCGCACGTTGGGGTGTGATGTACCTATAAAGTTAAAGGTGTTTCTACATGTTTCGCAACAGTTGCATGTTTCATCCCGGCTTTGCTTACTTTCCCCAATTTCCTTTTCTTTACACTTTGTCTTTTTGTGCTTTTACTCCCATTTTCCGCTCTTTTCTTTCCTCTCTTCCCTTGCTCTCTTGTTTTTCGTTTTTCTTTGGTTTTTCTTTGGCTCTCTTTTTCTTTATTTTTGAGTTTTCTTTTGGTTCTTTCTTTTCACATCCCTCTCTTATTGGAGTTATTTACAAAAATCATGACCGCATCCGATGAGGATTGCCTACGTATCACGACGCCGCATGAATCAGATCATTACGTAGTTCAACAAAAAATAAATGCGAAAAATAAAGCAACAATTTTTGGGAATTTTCAATTTTCATTAATAAAATTGCTAAACTTTTCTATTACAAAAGACCTCAACCCACTCATTTACTCAAAACAACTTTTAAAATAAGAAGCGGAAATACTGACTCGATGAATGAAAATCATGAATACATAAGTGCTTCGACTCCTGGGGCCGATGGGACATCATTCGGTCTTGCCACGGGCCTACGTCCAAGATCCCCTGGAAGACGCTCTAAATCACTCATTATCTGGCGGACGAATGTCATCACTGCAGCAAAGAAAGTGGTTTGAGTCATGTCCTCACATGCTTGGCATTTTGTGACAATATAGTCGGCAATGGCTCTAACCCTCTCCCGGATAATACCCTTTTCTTGAAGCAAGTGCCCGATTTGCCGAGTTCGAGCTTCTAACACCTGATTGTCATGATGGTTTTGATTCTGTAACCGTTGCACATCTTCATCCATCTGGGCCATCAAAGCATAACAGTGTTCCCTATCGGCTTTAAAAATTTTAGCTTGTTTAGCCGCCTTATTCTCAAGGGTAGTTAGCTTTCTCCTCAGATTGGTGATTGTCCCCTCATATTTTCTTTTCATTTGTTGCACAAACACTGCCTGCCCTTCTGCATTCTTTGCCACTTGTGCTCGGACTCTTTCTAGACAGGCCTCAGATTTCTCTAAGTCATCTTGACACTCGAGTACTTTCTTTCTCAGACCGCTTATAAGCCTTTGATCTGCTCGGCTTCTCTCTGGGTTTCTAACAGCTATTCTCATTTTCTGGATCTGAGCTTTGAGGGCTTCATTTTGCTTAACTAGCTTCTTCTTCTCACCCTCATCTGCAGCGGCTTGCACGTCACTAGCGAACTTGAGGTCTTTGATCTGTCCTTCTAAACTGCTTGTGGTGGCCCGATATTTATTTTCTTTCGCCAACCACTCCCAATGTTCTTGTGATGCTTCGACAAACTCTTGGAGGTGGAGTCTTTTAGCTGGCCTTCCAAATTCAACTTCCCTTTTGTACCAAGCGAGGTAACCGGGCGAGACTTCACCTCGGGATAAATCATGCACTCGGGTATTTGCTTTTAGATATTGGCATTCACTCCAAATCTGGCGAACTACTGTTTGCTTCTTGGTTTTTTTTCGTGATCCTTATTATGTACTATTCATGCTTGACTTGATGAGTATTCATGTTGGACCAGGCTTATGGTAATTCCTTGGTATTTGACCGCTGTTGAGTATTGACTCAAGTTGGGATTCATTTTGTGAAGTTAATTGTTCGAACGATATTGGTTATTGTTGATTCCCTTGCCGAGATGTATTGTTTCTATTATTGATTCCCTTGCCGGGATGTATTTATTTCTATTGTTGACTCCCTTGCCGGGATGTATTTGTTTCTATTGTTGATTCCCTGATGTTGTTGATTCTACTATTTGGGTGAGGAAAGAGTGATAAAGCACGAAGGGTAATGCAGTGCACATTTACATTTATATTGATGCATATGCTGAGGAAGAGAGATAAAGCACGAAGGGTGATGCCGTGCACATTTATACTATTCATATGGTGAGGAAGAGAGATAAAGCACGAAGGTTGATGCCGTGCACATTTATACTATTCATATGGTAAGGAAGAGTGATAAAGCACGAAGGGTGACGCCGTGCACATTTATATGACTCATATGGTGAGGAAGAGTGATAAAGCACGAAGGGTGATGCCGTGCACATTTCTATTATTGATTGCATGGTGAGGATTGAGAGTTAAAGCGGGAAGGGTGATGCCGTGCACATTTCTATTATTGATTGCATGGTGAGGAATGAGAGTTAAAGCGCGAAGGGTGATGCCGTGCACTTTCTGTTTGCTGTGTTTATTTGTTGTTATCAATTCAAGTGTTTTAACTGTTTAGATTCCTTTACTGCTGTGATACTTTGTGTTGGAATTCATAGTGTTTTCACTACCTCGCCGTATTTATATATACATATTTCAATACTTCAAATTTCAAAATTGTCACATTTTTAATTCAATTAGTTACTCAATTAAATTCCCTTAAACCGTCTGAAGTTGTAATTTACTTAAAAAGAAATTTCTACTAAGTTAATTTATTAAATCCCATGTTAAAGGTAATAATTCATTCAATGTTGTAGTTTAAATTGAAAATGGTACTTTCTTTATTCAAATGATTTCTAAAAATAACTTCATCTTTTCTTGCTGAGTTCCTAATTGATTTAGAAGTTGTACTTTACTTTATGTTATGTAAATGAGACTCCTGGAACATCTTAATTGCATCAGTTATGGGTCCTATGTACTGAGTAACATGAGAACGTTGTTGTACAAAGTGAGACAAATTATGTGGGCACAAGGTGCCGGGTGTTCTAAAGGTTTGGAAGTTGAGGTTATGATATGAGACATCAAGTTCTGAGATGGCTGGGGTTGTGCACCAGAAACGATATGATTGATTGAGNTCTGTTCGTTCCTATCGTTAGGTTTGTTGTTGATTTATTTGGTTATCTTTCGTTTCCATCTGAGTTTCCTTTTATTATTTCGACTGTTTGTAGATTGATTTATCCCTGCTGTTGATATTATTTCGTTACTTTTATCTTGATATTTGTTATCATATCCTGTTTAATCTGTCTGACCAGTAGGTGTCTTGACTGTTCCTCGTCACTACCCCACCGAGGTTAGTCTTGATACTTACTGGGCACCGCCGTGGTGTGCTCATACTACACTTCTGTACATTTTTGTGTACAAATCCAGGAATTGATCGATAGTAGCTGTGCAGATCGTCGTGGTGGAGACTCAAGGTAACCTGCTGCTGCGTTCGCAGGCCTCGGAGTCACCTTCGTTTGTATTTATGTTCCATTGATTCCTTCTCGTTCTGGGACAGTGTTGTATTTATTTTGTATAATTACTCTTAGAAAGGCTTATGACTTGTACCACCGGTTTT